ATAAGGACAAATGGAGATAAAGAACACATAGGAATGAATTTATAAACAACCGTAAATTGGTAGCTCAAGCCAATATCCACCTCAACCCCTTCACTGTTTGTAACATATGAAGAAATCATACATGAATCAATCGATAACCTTTAAAGCCGTTGTAAAGAGGATTCACTAAATAATATCAACGGCAATAATAAATTAAATCTGAGAAAGCAAACATTTCTCTGATTATAAAGATTTTTTTTTTTAATTTATAGATTCACAAGCTCACCGGCTATAGGAATAAGAATAAAAAAACTTCACAGGGTATAAAATTTCATGCTATGATGAGAAGCATTGCATCCAATGATATTCTCAAATATTTTTATTTTTTTGAAATAGAGAGTGATGAGAAACATTACAAGAAGTTAAGAACAAACTCAGGAAATAAATCAATAGTGTGTGTGTTCTGTTAAGAGCAAATACAATTTCAGCATTTTAAAGAAATGCCACGTCAGGTACCTTCTTGTTTTCTGTTAGCATAGTTTTCTATATATACATATGTAATGCTGTAATAAACATCAAGTGAATACGATCATTATTTCTTCCTTATTTCCATTCCATCTCTACTCTGTTCCGTCTCTTCTCAACACCTCTTGTTTTTCATTAGTATCAGAGCTTTGAAGCTCTACAGCGTTTTTTTTTCTTCTCTCTTTCTGATCCATCATGGGCGACGAAGCTTCGGTCGGTTCTCACCGGAAACAATCCACCATCTCCGGTCAAGATTCCGATCTGATCATTCCCCTCCACCTCAAATTTCTAATCTCAAATATCAAGAAACTTGTTCCAACAATTCTCACCTCTGAAAATTACTCAATCTGGAGGCTTCAGCTCCATCAACACTTTGCAGCAAATGGATATGACGGTCATCTCTCCGGCAATGCCATTTGCCCATAGAATTCCGAAGTTCTTCCATATGCGATAACCCTTCGCACCGCCCACGACATCTAGGTCACGCTGGAACGTCGACTTCAACCCACAAATCATTCCCGCGTCATACAGCTCAAGAACGAGCTACATCAAATTCGGATGGCTGACAGAACAATGCAGCAGTATCTTGATCAAATCAAGAAACTGGTTGACAACATCGCGGCAGCAGGATCAATGGTGGACATCGAAGACATCGTCCTGTACATTCTCAACGGGCTTCCCGCCGGCTACAACTCGTTTAAAATTGCAATAATAACATCGCTTCAACCGATTAGCCTAGATGATCTGTACACTCTCCTCAGTAGTGAGGAGATAAATCTTCAACATCAACTTCTACAAGACAGTCAGCAATCTGATGCCAAGACATTGTACAGCAACAGGTCCAACAACTACCGAGGATGACAGAACAAATCTCGTGGTAAAAACTCAACTCCTCGCTCACAACAGGTTGATCGACAGCAACAAACATCTGAGGTCCACACACCCGCTCGCAACCAGCAATCACGACCGATCTGTCAAATATGTGGGAAGATCGTACACACTGCCGGAAACTGTTGGCATCGTCAAAATCTTAACTACGCACCTACCACGACTTCCAGATTTCTCTTTGCCCAACAGCAATTCACGACGACAAACGACTGGATTCTTGATTCCGGCGCCTCCTCCCACCTCACGGCCGATGCGACAAATCTACACAAATCCGCACCTTACATCGGCTATGACTCCATTTCTATTGCTAACAGCACCAATCCTTCCCAAGTCTCAGCGTAAGCTTTATCTTAAAAAGATTTATAATGTGTCTTCGCTAAATCATAACCTCCTTTATGTTTCTAGCTTAGCATCTGACAATAATGTTTCCGTCTCTTTCACCGCTAATGAATTTATCATAAAGAATCTACATGACAACAGGGTGCTCCTCCGGGGTCCCAAACGTAATGGGCTCTACCACATTAAGGCTCCCGTCAACTGCAACAAAGCAGCACTCACGATGTCCGCTTCCACCAAGATGCTGTGGCACACTCACCTCGATCACCTCCATGGCAGGAAACTTCAACTCTTGGCTAAACTAGATCCAGAAATTACTGCTTCTTCTCCCAATTCTGTTTGCATATCTTGTAATGTGTCAAAGAGTCACAAACAATCGTTTTCTATTAGTAGTTCTGTTTGTAATAAACTCTTTCAACTCGTCCACTCAGACGTCTAGGGTCCGGCTCCGACTTGTTCTTTAAACGATTTTTGCTAATACGTTACTTTTACATATGATTTTACTTGGTTTACATGGCTGTATTTACTTTATACCAAAGATGAAGTATTAACTAAATTTCAATAATTATGCAATCTTGTGACCAACAAGTTTAACACTAAAATTCACACGTTACGGTCCGACGAAGGTGGTGAATACACCAGCATTGCTTTTCGATCTTACCTGGAACATCACGGTATTACTCATCAAATGAGTTGCACGCACACGTCGGAGCAGAACGGCACCGTTGAGCACAAGAATCGTCATCTTCTCGACCTTACACGAACACTTATCCACCCCGCTCATCTTACCACGTCCTTCTGGGCATAGGCCATCTCAACTGCCAATTATCTTGTCAATCGCCTCCCGTCATCTGCAATTCATGACCAAACACCCTACTGTAGGCTGCACGGCTTTCAAGCATCATACTCTCATCTCCGCACCTTCGGTTGTCTATGTTTCCCATGGTCAAGGCCATATGCTCAACACAAACTCTTGTCAAGATCTCAAGTTTGCATATTTCTTGGCTATTCAAGTTATCACAAAGTCTATCGTTGTCTTCAACTACCCCAAAATCGTCTATACATCTCACGGCACGTCGTGTTCTACAAAAATATTTTTCTGTTCTTATCGCCAAACACAACCGAGCACACCGAACCGAGCCCAGGTTACGTGCCCCTGTCGCTCCTTATTCCCCCCTCTACCATTACAACCCAACATAACACCACCAAACCAGCTATACAACCTTGCCCATCGGCACCTGTTATCACCCCGTTGGATCCTATACCTAAGGCTATCTCAGTCCAAGCTCCGCACAGCCCTCAGCCTTCTAAGCATCCTATGCAAACGCGTCTCCACTCCGGCATTACCAAACCCAAACAGATATTCAACATGTTCGTGGTTAAAACCGAGAACATCACACCTACTACATACTCCGAAGCCTCAAAACATAGCCACTGGCGATTGGCTATGTCATCTGAGTATCTAGCTATGCAAAAACAGGGAACATGGTCACTGGTTCCACTGCCACCAAACAAACCCATCATCGGCAGCAAGTGGACATTTAAGACTAAGCTCCTTCCCAATGGCCAAATAGACGCTACAAGCCTCGTCTAGTAGCTCAAGGTTGCTCACATGAGTTTGGCGTCAACTTCACCGAGACCTTTACTCCGGTAGCAAAGATGGTTACCATCAGAATGCTGATTAGAGTCACTCTAAATAACCATTGGCCAATCACTCAGCTCGACATATCGAATGCATTTCTCCACGGAGAATTACAAGATGAAGTTTACATGAGGAAACCGCGGGGCTTCGAGGACTCACAACATCCACAACATGTGTGCAAACTCCATAAGTCGATCTACGGACTTAGACAATCACCACAACAGTGGTTTCAAAAACTCACCACGTTCCTTCATCTCGGTTTCACCTTCAGCAAGGCCGATCCTTCCCTTCTTATTTTTAATAAAAATGACATCCATCTGTTCGTTTTAATATATGTTGACGACATTTTGATCACAAGTAATAAACCCAATCAAATTCAGCTAATTCTGTGTCTACTGCAATCTAAATTCAGACTCAAACAATTGGGTGACATCTCCCTCTTCTTGGGCATTCAGGTTATTAAAACTACATATGGCTACTTTCTAAGTCAATCACATTATGCACAGGATTTGCTTCTTAGTGCAGGATTCACGGACTGCAAGCCAGCGACCACATCGGCTCCATCCCCTTCGTCGTTGTCCTTTGACGATCAACCATACATGGACCCAAAGTTGTTTCGCAAACTGGCGGGCTCGCTGCAATACCTATCCATCATACGACCCGACATTGCATTCGCCACAAATTCCATATGCCAACACATGCATCAACCGCGAAATGGCGACTTCCAATCTCTAAAGCATCTTCTACGCTACATTAAAGGCTCCCTAAGCTACGGCTTTCCAAAGACAACTGGACCAATGCAGCTACGCTTATACACTGACGCCGATTGGGCAGCCAACACCATGTACAGGAAGCCCATGTCGGGATTATGCACCTTTCTTGGTCCCAATCTAGTCTCGTGGTCGGTTAAGAAGCAGACAACCGTAGCGAGATCATCTACCGAGGCAGAACACAGATCGCTCTCATTACTACATCCGACATCTTGTGGATTCATCGCCTGGCGGAGGACCTTGGCATTAAGCAAACCTTCCCCATGGTAATCCACTGTGACAACACCTCTACGATTGTGTTAGCCAACAATCTGGTGTTTCACGCGAGGACCAAGCACATCGAGATCGACTACCATTTCATTAGCGATCACATACGAAAAGGCCATATCTCTATCACTCACATCTGCACGACCGACCAAATCGTGGATATCCTGACCAAATCTCTTTCGATCAGTCGGTTTCAGCTTCTCCGATCCAAATTAACCATTCGTTCCCAGAATGGTTAATTTGAGGGGAGCTGTTAAGAGCAAATACAATTTCAGCATTTTAAAGAAATGCCATGTCAGCTTGTACCTTCTTGTTTTCTGTTAGCATAGTTTTCTATATATACATATGTAATGCTGTAATATCAAGTGAATACGATCATTATTTCTTCCTTATTTCCATTCCTTCTCTAATCTGTTCCATTTCTTCTATACACCTCTTGTTTTTCATACGTTCAAACGAAAATACATGTTCAAAATTAATTTAGGTCAACTCTCAAACAAGAAATTACTTCCATAAGAGATCTACAGCAATGAAAAATCATTCAATTCAAGTCATATTAAGAATACACATGAAGCCCTTCTCTACTCAGCGAATCAGAACTCAATAGCTTAAAGACTTGAGAAAATGTTTCATGATCATATCCCTTATTGTAACAAAAGATAGCTCCAAAGACTAAGAATGATTATACCTCCTTAAAGATTACACGCATTTCAAACCTCCCAAAACCTTTGAAGTAAAAAAAAAAAGTTTGAACAGGAACAATCCATTGTTATTCATAACTGAAAGAAGGAAAGATAATCTCAGCATTTTCTTCCTACATAGGTTCTATCTTGATGGAACGAAAGCTTCAAACCATGGTTTCCTGATTTCAACAATGCAGCAAGAGCAAACTAATGCTATTCCATCTCAGCAATAGAAATAATCCTGCTCACATTTCTTACCAAGCAGAGAATGCAAAGAAGATGGAGATGTAGGTTTAGAAGGAGATTAAAAGCTGGAAGATAAGGAAGAGAAAGGATAAGATGAAGGAAGAAGAAGATAAGTTAGAGGAAGAAGAAGACTAGGAAGAAGAGAAAGGGAGATATACCTGCTCGTGAGAGGAACTATATCGAGAATGGGTTCGGGACTCCAGGTCAAGTTCAGCTGCTAGGGACGGACGATTGTAGTAGGACAGGAGTCAGGTTTTGAATCTTCCATGGACTCTTCGAGCTGAAGAAGAGAGAAAGGTTGGGCTGTAGGGCTGCTCGGACTAGAGAATGAGGCAGGATGCGGCTTCAACTTGCTCCCGGGCTTTGCAAACCAGAGAGTCCAGTTTCGGTTTGGGGTCAAATGGGAGAGATCACGAGAGAGGAAGGGAGGGAGTCCAGCTCTTCTCCTAGGCTTCGCGAACGGCACCGAGAGGGGGAGGGAGTTTTTTGGTCCGCCTAAGCTCACGCCCGAGAGAGAGGGATGAGAGCGGGATGGAGGGCAGAGCTCCTGGCCGCCTGGGCCTTCTACTTTGATTCCTTCATACGTGAAAGGAGAATGGCTTCTCCCGTATCTCCTTCCACCGAGACCACTCGCGCTTGCTTAAAAAATACTATCACGGGACTGAACTGCGATGACGACAGGCTTCAAATTTCGGGGAGATCGTAGCCGTCAACCACATTTCTTGATTTAAATTATATATATATAATGTAAATAAATAATTAAAAATTATGTTATATTTAATAATTTTAAATGTCATTAGAATGATCAATTATAAAAATTGGCTATATATGTATATTAAATTTAATTTCGATTTTAGAAATTTTTTTATCAAATAGTTCATGCGCTGGTTGATCAAATTTATACTTCATCAAAATGATATGATAAAATTACAACATAGGATAATTAAAAGAAGAATTAAAGTTTTATATGTCTAAATTAGACTCATTGAAACTCTAATATTTAGAATATGCTTAGTTGTATGGTTTGTTGACATCTCTAAGCAAACATACATTTGAGATAGTTTTTTCTCTGCTATATTTTTATATTTTGAATAACTAATTTATTTTTCTGGCATGTGTTATATTGATGTAAAAAAACAAATATATGTGAAACTCTAGCATTATACATAAATATGCTTCTTATTATTGATCTAACTTTAAAGATTATTTAAAGAATAATATACATTTATATTCTTAATTATTAGTAATATATAAATCATTTATAAATATACAAATATTGTATTTATTATCACTAATATAGTATGTTATTGGTGGGAAAAATTATGTCACCACGCAGATTTTGATTTCTCCTATTTTGTAATCAAATACTGCATTAAGAATAAAGTACAATCTCGAGAAACTGATACAATATTCTATAATGGATTCAATATAAAAATAGGGTTTTGAAAATTGATATTTCTATAATCAAACACAGTTCAAAGAATGACATATTATTTTGTTATATGTAAACAAACACACCAATAATTTTACAACCAACATGCAGTGAAAACCGAGAAAAAGCTCGTCACACAGCAGTAAGAAAGTAAACACTGGCCTAACCTAAAACTAGAGTCGGTTGTCCTAGCAAACAAATCTAAGTGTGTGCAATAAGAAGTGTGATTTTGATATGTCCTATATAGGTTAATTATTGACTAAAGTTTTCTAATTGATTGAATTTTAGTTTAAAAATATTCACTAATCTTAATGTGAGGTGTCACTAAGTTTTCTATGTTATATATTTCTATCCTAAAGTGTACATGCACCCTAAGTCTAAGTTTTCTAAGACTCGGTCCTTAATTTTTTGTCCTTAAGTGTCACTAATGTTATATTGGATGAAAAATTTTGTTATCGCTAACCCTTAGGACTTTTCGCGTGTGTAAAAGAAGTTTAGGGATCTAAAATAAAACAAAAGTAATCCTAATAAAATTGAAGTTACTACAGGGACCTAAAGGAAGGGTTCAGACACACCACATCAAGGGCCCCTAAAGATTTTCTAAGTTTTAGAATACTCACAGTCACCGGAGGCTATGACCCGGTGGTTTCACCCGTAGCACCTCTACCCGGTTGGATAGAGGCGACTAACGTCATTAGCTCCTTGTCCTTTTGTTCACTCGACCGGTACCGTTCCTCGCAGTTCATGCAAATAAATAGAAAACAGGAAAAACATGGATTACAATGCATATTTAATAATTAATAATAAAATAATTGAAATTTACTGAAAATAAAAATGTACCTTTCTTCAGGCTTGAACACCAGTTCTGTTGTTTGTCTTTTTGGACATTTTCAAGTAATATGGTATTTTGAAATACCTTGCATCACCTTTCGAAATATCTCATCAATATGATTCTTTCATAGCTAAATAAATTTCTAAAACATCACATTTTAGAAATATTCAAGACATGAATGCATAAAATGGATTTTAAAACTATAAATGCAGTAACTTGAGACCCATAATAATTTGCTTCATTTCACTATTAAGTTCTTGAAGAGAAAATAAAAAAGAATCATTCACTAACTGATTATGAGAACTAATTACTAGTGAAGCTTAAACAAATGACTCAAGAAATCCTCTCAAACTTTGTAAAGACCGAGCAAACTATCAACAAGAGTTTAAAATTTTGTTTCTCAAGAATAACAACATCTAAATTGAGAATAGATTATTCATATGCTCTTGTAAACCTAACACAAAATTGATCCATAGAAAACTCATTTGAAAGAAAGGAAAATGTAGATTCAATATGTTACACTCTTTATTATACACAACTAGATGTTTTCAATCTGATTTTTTTTTAATGAAGCAGAAATATGAAATCTAGTTGATGATACTTTGCTAGCAATGGGTTTTATAATCATTCATGCTTCTAACTAATGGTTGATCACACAATTTTGGCATGAGAGCCAAGAACTGTAGCCAAATAATGAAGAAGAAGATAGGAGATACCTTGTAATTGGAGGGAGTATCAACAGTTAAAAGTTTATATCCACGTGAGCAAGAGAGGCAGAGACTTTTGTTTTAGTTTCCCTTGGTTTGATCGGACAGTGGCTGGGCTTGGGATCATGCGAAACAGAGGAAAACGGCGGGCTGGAGCTGTGGAGACCTGGGCTTCTTGCGGCAGAGGGAGGAGGTCGTTTGTGCGGTTCATGCAAATGGCAGGCGGCAGGAGGCTGGGGTCTTCACAAAACTACAGGGGAGAACCGAGGCAGGAGTTATGAGATTTGGCATGGGTCTTCTCGTGCAATCCAGAGAGGGAAGATGGGGGGTTGTCCGCCTGGATTTCTTCTCACGTCCGAGAGGGAAGCAGAGAGTGCGAAATTGAATGGGAGGATCCAGCCAGAGAGAGGAGGTCTTCGTGCGACTTGGAGATGAGATGAAGTTTGAAATTGCAGAAGGAGCGAGCGATAGAGAGGGGATAGAGCGAAAATGGAACCTTGGCTTTTTTTTTCCAATCAGAATGTGAGTGAGTTCCAAACTGATAGAGAGGAAGTTGGGGTTGTTTCGCAAACTGGGAAGAGGTGTCGGGATTCAGGCCTTCGGCCCTCTTGCGAACAGAGAGGAGAGGGGAGTTCGTGCAAACTGCCGGCGTGAAAAGGGTTCGGGAGTTTCTTTCTGTGCGAGTAGAGAGGAAGAAAGGGGCGGTTGGACGCCAACTACAGGGGAGTGGGGCGGTGGTTTGGGTGGTTCGTGAATGAGGAACAATTATTACGTCCTCCGACCGGACACAGAGGAACGTCCGGTCGGAGGCAAATTCTCGCCAAAAAATGAGAAATACCAAGTAAATACCAAGCAATACCAAACAATAACGAGGAATACCATCATTTGAAGACTCAATACCGAGTTATACCGAGCTATACCCAGCAAATACCGAGTTATACAAAAGTGGTACCGAGTTTTCCTAGAAAAAACTCGGTACAACTTGGTATTTCTCGGTACAGCTCGGTATAACTCGGTATTGGTCTTCACATAGCGGTATTCCTCATTATTATCAAATAATACCTAGCAATACCGAGCAATACCGAGTTTTTTGGCGGGATTTTTGCCTCCGACCGGACGTTCCTCTACATCCTTACACCGGACGTAATAAAAGTTTGTGAATGAGAGAGGATCGTGGGGAGGTTTTTTTTTTTTTCTTAAACAATCTTTTCAAAGGGCTCTAATATTACCATTCTACCCTCTCCAATCCAATTCAATCTAAGGATTTAATTTGTATTATTAAGAGAAATTATTAGGCGCTGGTTTGGTTTAAATAAAGTTGAAATGATCAGATTTTATTATATTTGGAATTGTAATCATTCGAGCGGATTTGAGTTAATTTGGAGTTGAATATTAATAATAATAAATTGGATTGAATTTAATTTTGATTCGAGTTGAGTGATAGGTTCAAGTCGATGCTACGTCAGTGGGCGTCCACCTAAGGGAAATCCTATGGGTGACGTCTACAGTAGGCTACGAAGACCTAGGTGCTAGAGTCGATTCCGAGAAAATTGACCTCGAATAATGAGGTCAACAGTTATGACTTCAGATAGTCTATCAAAGGAGAATTTAAAGAGAATTAATGATTAAGAAGCGAACCAATCTAATATTTCTTCTCACAAATATGTATTTGAAGTTGACATTAAATATGGTAATCTTCTACCTTCATGAGCTTTAGCTAATGATAAATGGAAGCAAATTATAAATAAGCTAGAGATTTGAAATCAAAATGAACTACTTTAAACTTCATATGCTATAAATTGAGAGTTCATAATGTGAAATATAACATTTATGATGGTCTTGTTCTCTCAAAGAAATGAGGGAAGCTTTAATTAAAGTTTTATTTGACTCAAATAGTATGAACAAAATTAGAAGAAGTGCTATATTTCATGGAAGTTCTAGGAGTCGCACTTTCAAATGAAAATTTTCTATTAGGAACCACATATCATAATTATTTGTTATACATTTCTATGAATATAAACAATTTAAATTATCTCATGTCCTTGTTGATCCGAGTACATTAATTAACATCATGACTCTTTAAAATATCAAAATCAAATAATAAAAAAATGAAAATAATACAATTAATGGTGCATGTAATAAACATAAATTAGGAATCTAGTTAAAAGGATGAAATCCTATGTTTTTGAGGAAAAATAATTAGCCGTAGAATATATGAACTATATAGGACAACCAAAGTTTAAAATTTTTATAGAAGCTAATATGGATGAGGATATGTTCAAATTGCAAGGGAAAATATTTCAAATATATCTAGCATATAAAGATTAAAGAAGTATATATTAAAAAAAAAAAAAACATTATCTCCACTATCCTATGGTGATGTAAAAAGGTCAGAGGTGAAGGTTTTCTATAAACATTATCTCCACTAGCCCTATTACCTCTTCTTTTCAATCCTTTTCTCATTCTACTGCTTAAAATTCTGTGGCGTTACCTTTCGGCTCTTCATTTCTTCGCACGAATGATGACATGCTAGGGCTCCTCCTCTTCTCCATCCTTTTTCTCATTCTAATGCTTAACACTCCATGGTGTTACCTTCTGGCTCTTCGTTTCTTCGTGTGAAAG